TTGCACTTATCAATTGTTTCGTAGCAAACTAGTTTTGGTCAGTGCGATTCTCTTCCCACCTTCAAAAAGAGAGGCTTGGAAAGCGCGGGAGGTTTGATGCGAGTCAAATATTTCGATAAATATTGATAAATGAGGGTCTGTCACCATCTCGGCAAAAAGGGCACACAATCTTATGACACAGTTCCTTTTTTTCGCCTGCTTTGCTGGGTGAACAATAATGTCCATCACGCGCGGATTGCCTGGTAGGGTGGGCAATTACTCAGTTGTTTCAAAACTTCGCATACTGAGCAGCCACTTCTGCGAGCATACCGCAGATAAGACCGCAATCGTGCGAATGGTCTTTTATTTTGAGAACATTAAGCGCGACGAAGTGTTTTGTCATACGGCTGGAATCATGAGCATATCAATCTGTATTGTAAAATGTAAGATTCACCCCATTCCTGCCCTCAGATGACTCGATATTTATCTACTGTGCATATATTCCAACGCGTATCGATGCCGCAAATTTTTACTACGGTGCTCCCGTCTTCTAGCAAATGATAATTTCATGTTAAGAATAACCAGTCCAGCACACGAAGGGAGATCCTGCGTTAGTTTTATCTACTGAAGTGAGCGAGAATATATAATTATACTTCGGGAGGTGCATTTAGAAAGCTAGATGCAGAGCGTGCTTATTCCGCGGTCATCCATGCATAGTCCCGTAACCTTGACGTATTCCGGTAGGTGCTCTCAAGCAGCGGTGTCGTACTCAATGCCTTAAGTGTAACTTCTTGCTAAAAAGGCTAATAGATTTTGCAGGCATGCATTTAGTCCTGCTGATCTGTCAGAGATTTGTGGTCAAAATAAAAAAATTACGAATCGGCTAAGGTTTAATTATCCTGAGCTCTGGCATTAAATTCTGAGGGTGCCTTTCCCAATTGTTCTTGAGCTCATTTTCATGATGATTTTATGCCTCAATATTTTTGCATGTTCGGTCAGAGAAGCAGATGTTGCATTATTTAAAGGCATCACCCTGCAAAGTATCGCAATCATCTGAGTAAACGCTTATTGCAAAATTATCTTTTGTCATCATGGTTTTAGATATCAATGAGATGTTCTACATAGAATTTACTGAGTGTTAGGATTGCGACACGGAACCTTGTTTGAAGAAGGTTAAGGAACTTCCAAGCTCGCAGTAAGCGACAGAGCAGCTAAAACAGATCTCAAGGCAATGTATACATTTGATATTTGTTTCTGCAACACAAACTTGAGCGTGGCGTACACAATATGCAAATGACTCCTCACTCAGATGTATCATGTACTACGTTCAGTATTGTGGTAGACATAAAAACTACACAGTTGCCGACATTGTCGCTAGGTCTTAGAGCCAAGGTCAGTAGCACCAAAGTAATGTAGTCTTGATTAGACGGTACCTAATAAAGGAAAGACCCGCTAGACTCGTGAGTTTCTAGTCGAAATAATTGCACAACATAGAGTTTAATAATAAGTTAGATATTCAAATAATGTATTAGCCAGATCAAATCATTAATATATATATACTTATCCAGCACCTACAATTGACAGGCTCTCAATTTTGCTTCTAGATATATTATATTAAGCAATCCTTTTGCGTTATTTTGTCAGTCTCATAGACTAAAAGCTCGTTCCGTGCGAGGTACACGGATTTCCCGTTGCATCTGGTAGCACGTGTTGTCAGATCATAGTCTGAAGTCAGCTGTATTCTCTAAGAAAACGGATCACAATATATTCATCATCTGTTCTCGTGTCGACAAGAGACTTTTTACGCTTCTATCTTTAAGTGACCCGAGGAGTCGCGCAATTACCCTGAATACTTACATCAGCAAAGAAAAAACGCACTCTCTGGCTTAGGTGTTTGTAGCTTAGCCTATGGTCGAAAGGTTTCTGGCTCTATACCCATAGGATCCGAATCAATGAGCTGGAGATGGGTCATTAAAGTGGACGAGGAACCACACCCCTGTGGTTTGACCGCAATGCCAACCCGCACCCAATTAGGTGTGTGATGGTTGAGTGAAAGGAGGCCCTACTGACCGAAAAATTCTCATATTGTAATGAGTGGTACGGAACCTGGTCCCAAAATAAGTCGGATAGCTACCAGCTTCCGCGCTAAAGAAAGATCAATCCTAGCGAGTGGGTTCCGGTAGCTTTAATCGCACTAGGCGTCGGTGTGAGCACTATTAGCTTCCACAACAAGATGTTTTATACCGAGACATCCTTGGCTGAAATCCTTAAGTCTTGAAACTGAACACTGCCGACACCACAATCGACCCATAACGTACTACTGCATGTCTTATACTGTCAACCGTGGTGTGACCCAGCACAGTAGAATTTGTTACTGTGGCGGTGAATTAGATGCCTGGTTTAGACTTAGAAAAAGGGGTGGGTCTATAGTTACATATTATGACCCAACAAATAACCTTAATGTAAGCTCTAAGAGCACGAAAAATGTCTTCTCCAACTGCTATTGAAGCACATGGCTTAAGGATGATGACGTCCCTGTGATCCGCGTCATGACGATTTTCTTACTGGGAAAGGCGAAATTGTCTCAGGTAAGAGTGGCCGAACTGACTCCATTTCCCACAGCCTACATAAATTCGTCAGTCTCCTCCTTCGATGCACGCCTCTTAGAATGACCGAGTCCCGGGAGAGCAATGCATTATACGACTTTACCGCTTAGTATGTTATATGTGCACAACAGGCACGGAAGCTGTAAGGGCTCAAAAACACGATGTTTCTTGAAATGAAGGTAGCCCCTTCGCTGTAACTTATACGGTTTTGGTCCTGGCGAGTGCTTGAGAACACAAACCTTTCCGCATGAAGGTGAAATTCGCCTCGCTTGTCGAGAAGTACAAGCTGAAGAGAGCCTCTCGTGACCGACTTCTCTTGGGTTGATGGAATGCATTGACCCTCGTCGAATACCTAATCGCACACTCGCTGAAAAGCGGCGATTGCTTGTCGAAAGCTGTTGCAGAGGTCTAAATTTGGATCGATAACTCCAAACGCTTCAATACCAGATAGTTGCATTAGGGCAGAAGGCAGCTCGGTTACATGGGTCTGTTTAGGCGCTTACTTGTCTCCAACACACAACATGCTCCACTTCTGGATGGATAACAAGGGCGGGGTCCCAGTAGCTTGGTTACGTCCACCTGGCTGACCGAATCCACAACGATCGAAAAGAGCTTAAATTGTAACAAGAGGTCACTATCACTTATGCAACTGCTGACACTGCATATTTAGGGAGATTTATTCATATATTTTCCCCCGATATAAATTTCATATGCGTATTTATCCTTTCAAATCATTATCTTGCCCTTGTATGTTTTCAATCCACAGCATCGCCTACTCGGCGCATGACGCATAATCTATAAACTCTCTATTTGGCTTTGAAATTTAGCCAGGCCAACATCAGCAAAGCTATCAACTCTTCCCAGCGTCAGGAAACACGGCTTTTTAACAATGGTCGTAAAACATATGAGTTATGAACCTTGTCACTCAATGCAAAATCAATGTTTATGAACATGTTGCCATCGCTTGCACTATTGAGAATGTCCTCCACCGCGCTATCGAATAAGCGCGTTTCATATGACCTGAGGATGGCCCATAAGGAGCATATTTAGATCTGATTCAAATCACTCTAAAAATTGCTTGCCTTTTTTTGGCTGTATAACGCGGGTCTCGACCCTGGATCAATACCACAGGCAAGCTATGTTGGTAAAACCGCTGTCTTAAAATTTGACATTAGCCGATTAGCCCAAGCAATCTGCAAAGACTACGATGCTAATATAGCCAGCGACAACTTAAGAAAGGTCAACAAATGCCTTCTAAATGCGCTGCCAGCGCTCTACCGAATTCAGCTGCAGGGTGCCAATGCATGATGCGAGGGAGTTACCCGTCGACACGTTCGCACATAAGTGCTTACTCGTTTATGCATCTTGATCCACCACAACATAGTGCTCGCTCAGCGATACATTAATTCTTTATCGAGATGACCTTCCAGGGTCTACAAAATGACGTACGTGAGGTCCTAATATAAAAAATCACATGCCGGACGAGTCCATTTTGTGATTAAGCAAACCTTGGGACAAAACAAACAGTAGCAATGCGTAGCCAACGCTTAAAATTAATTGACATCCACCCAGCGCCTCCTCGCTTTCTAAGACTCAAAAATATGTTACTTCGAAAGCTAGGAGTCTCACACTTTAATGCGTCGTCAATGCACGATGTCACCATTGTGGTATGCAAATAGCTTATTGTCTGGTCGATCAGAAAGCACCAGAAAGCACATCCATCACCACATATGTAGATAATACCCATAAGTCATATCGTCGAAGAAAGATATCCACCTGTCTTTCTCTGCGAGAGATGTGGCGACGGTGGCGCTATGCGTAATCACGCATGATTTGTATAGAGCACAAACGACTTCAGGTCCCGTCAAATAACCAACTTAAAAAAACTAGTGGCGCCTTGTACAATCTTTTTAGGCCGCTTTAGGCTGGCGAGGCTCGAGTGCAATGACGCTTTCATACTCCTCGGCATCTGCTTGATGTAACACAAAGTTTTGGCTCGTCCAAATCATCAAATGCGACGGAAAGTAGATGATAAGAATTGGAAGGCATGTCTTACAGCCTGACAAGCCGCCATTCATGTAGCACCCCATACCATCTGACAATTTCTAGAAGGATATCGGTGATACCGCATGAAAGGTTGGCCGTCCGAGGTTTTTACTTCAGGTTACTTTGGGAAAGTGGCTTTAGCCAATTTACTATAGCCTGGTTCCCTGCGCCCGTATCGATACCATTTCTCTCGATGGAACAGGTTCTCCTCGCCCCCAAAGACACACCTGACTGCGTACGTGTATAGCTGTCAACTCAGGTACTGTTTGTTAGCGTTCGACTTGGGTGCTCATATTTTGTAAGAGTTTGGAGAATAATATCGTCGAAATTGGTCCAGACTTTATGCAAGACACAGCCGGAACAGTCGTTGCTGGTATCGATCTTATCACGAGTATCCTGATCGTAGTATGTGAATAATACTGGTATCATAAGTATTGGTTATATTCATTGACCAGGTAAAGCGCACTAAATAAGGCAAAATTGAGAATGTTACTCTGCACCATGTTTTTCTTTAACTGTTGTTTGCGCCAGATTTTGGCTGTATTTGGCTAATTGTAAGCATGCATAATTCGCCACTGGCATTTAGCCTTGGTGACAGAGAGAGCCGGAGGCGAGTGCGGAGATTTACGCATTTTAAGGCCGTCTTAGTGATTCACACAAAATCAAGAGTCGAACTTATCGTTTCATTGTGAAATTTTTGACAGGTGACTTTGCGTCGGGAGATAATTCTTAATCAATAAAATATACGACAAAAGTGGCTGGTTTGCCACCGTTGAAACATCTGGATGCCACGACGCTGACGGTATTCGAAACGTCAGAAATTAATCTATTTTTTGCGCAACCAAGCCGAGGTCTATTGCCTCTGGTGCGTTCATAATTTTGGCCCCACAACTGATCCTTGAGGCTCGGAATGGTTGCTGACCCTGTGTGGCACTTCCCGCTTATTCAGGAAAGTGAGAGTCGACGAAGAAGGTCTTGGTAGAACCCGCACTTGTCTGGAGCTCCTTGATGAAGCTTTCATCCTAATACGAAAAGTGATCAAGCAAAACACTAAGAATGATCAAAATACGAAGAGTGATTGGTTGGAATTGAATGATTATCAAGCTGTCAACCGTGTTAATCCTGCCAATATTGGTGGCAAAGACAAGCAACAGATGTTTTCATTGACGGTGAGCATAGTACTGTACGTACCCCTTTACAAATATCTAGAATTTACCCTTGGTTCCTTACTCAAGGTTCGAGGTACGTACCCATTACAACCATTATTCGGTCTACAAGGTGCTGCCGAGAGGTACGTACCCTGTTACAAGCAATATAATAATGATGCCATAGCATACTCACACTGAGCCTCGTCCATTGGACATACCTATTTTTTCTGCAATGAAATAAGCTCTCTATTTGCGTAAGCGCAGGCGTTATACCTAGATTAGCGTGAAAATCAAGATGCTAGATAGATTGAAATTTCTTCGCAGTCTAACACCTTTTAGCAGATTTGAGACTGAATACATATATGTACAGGAGCCAAATGGTCAGAACCTCAACTCACTGTTGTCAACTTAACCATTTGAACCTATCGTAGGATGTGCCATGACGGTTGTTTCTCTAGCATAGCAGCTGCTTTACCCTTGAGATAATGTCACAAGTAGAAAAACAACAGATTTAATCTTCTCTGGCTGAATGTCCTTTGCGGTCTGCCATCATCAGAGACTCTGCTTCAAACAGCCTTTCTGTGGTTGACGCCACTCCATGTTGTGAATTGAAATCTTAAAGCAGTTTTTGTGGCGATTTCAGTTGAAAAATAGTACTAGTTGATACGCAAATGTCAATTAGTCGATAACAATATCAATTGGCACAAAAAGCCACGTAACAAGAAGCAATGACACACGACGGAACGACTACTGTCATCTCATCGCAATTGTAGCGAAGTTTTATTTTAAAAAGAGCTTGACTCAATGTGAGTGGCAAATATCGTTTAATCAGAGCGCATACATAAGAGGTATAGTCGACAAAAGCGTAATTCGTACGCTTGAGCCATTTTCAACAAAGTCGTGAAATCTCACTGTGTCAACCCAGGGTTTACAAATCCCCGGTTTCAGTCTTACAAATAACGACTGAATCTCAGCAATCATGAATAGAGATCTCTGCAAAAAAATGATTCGAACCATCTCGTCTACGTTTGGATATCGATGACGACAAGCTTACTGTATTCTTTAAAGCGGGATGACGTATCATTGCACACCGCACAAAGTCCACAGAACGTACTGCGTCACGCTTCTACAAAAATTACAATTTCTGTCTGAGGCCTGGATAAAGATTATCTAGTGCCAGACTTTCCGCCCCTTTTGATAAACCGCATGACCGTAGTGCCTCAATTGCTCAATAACTTTAGAGTGATTGGCAGAAGCTGCCACTGCCACTGGTGAGGCGCTTACGGCACATGCAGTAGATCAAGATAAACACTGCAGTCTTTGATTGCATAACAATCTTATCAACAAGTAGTATCAAAGATTACACTGCTTTTATGGCAAGTGAAGATTTATAGATTTGTCATCACGGAGAATGGCGCGAGAAAGTGACGAACGAAAAGTAGTTCAACAAAAATAAATGAAGAAGCAGAAAAGTGAGGAAACGATATATTGTCAGCGCTAGAAAATCGTGGGATTTGGTTTGGATTGCTGTTGTTTTGTCTGCTTGTTGCTATGGCTGTAAAGAGAACAATGCTACTGCGTCTAGGCAAATTCTTAATCTTGCGATGTTCGATACTGAAACGGCATCATCGACACCTACTTAGCACGCTATCGTTTGCAAATTTGCTATAAAATTGCCCATCTCCAGCGCTGTTATTCGGTGACTGCTAGAAAATGGCAAGAACGTTACTTGACAGCAACGTGGTATGCCGCTTCTGTGATGGTCATTCTGTCGTATATGGCAGGTATCAGGAAAGAAGGATTGATTAGAAAACAATGTTTAATTATTTTAAAAAGCAGATTTGTAGAAACTTGTTTCTCGCCCCAGAGAGCAGTTGCGTACCTCCATCTTTAAAACCAGCACAATGGATCTTGTTCGAAGCTTCTCGAATGACAAAGTCCCATGAAATTCACGGTTAATGTTTAAATGTGGTGGCCTGCACATCACGCACATCAATGTCAGACTAGGCAGCATGTTTCCCTCCCCCGTCTGCTTCACGGCATTGAAGTGCCGATATCCCGGACTTCGCAAGGGTCAAGTCCAGCGAAACAAGTGCACCTTTGCGCGTCTTTGTTGTGCACTTAGCCGGTCCTTTAATTCGCGGGAAATAGCGAGAACAAGTGACCTGGAAAAACAGCAACTGAACGGCGGCAAAGAGGTCTCACAATTAAATATATATACTCGTCGCTTGGCTGAGGTGTTCACCAAAGAAGTGACATTCAAGCGATGGAAAGGCGACGCTGTATTGAAGTCGCACTTCACAAGAAGCGGAACGGCCGACAACGCCTGCAACGTTACCCTGTTGTCACGAACGGCTCTTCCAATTGACTTGTGAAAAGGCCATGTGAAATGTTCCTGCTCTAACGCTTAGTCATCAATACTTTTTGTTGCTAGTCTTTTCTTGTTAAATGTCTCTAGCTAGTTGCTATGGTTGACTTTACACTGACTTTAACAGCTTCGAAATTGTACAATGTTGGCTGTTAGCCACGCGAACCCGACATGCTACTCTCGACTTCGATCAGATTCATTAAATACTTCGCGCTGGCCTCAAGCCGCAGCTTTAAATGAGACTCGGTGAGCGTGCTAGCATTAGTTGTAGCAAACCGAGGTGCACACTTGCATTCACTAGGGCCCGTCAAAAATAACCAGGACACTACGCTGTTGTTGCTAATCAGAAGTGATTGCAATTGTTCCCGCTCACTTGATGACGGCAAAGCGCTCGCTCTGCGCTAGCAAAGACACGTTTGTCTGGTCCTTCTGTTCTGTAACATCGTAAACATTCACATAGTAGCCCTCGGCGATTGGCATGCCCCAATACACACGACGCCAGCGAAACGTGCCATCATTTACTACACAATGCGCAATGGTAGTCGGCACCGTCCACGCTACATTACACACGTCAATTCGCACACACTGGACGCTGGGGTCAAGCACTTCCCACTGAACCTCGGCAGCTTGTCCTCGCACCCAGCCGGAAAATTGAGGGCCGTCGGGTGAAGTAATCCGTAGTCGTTGATTAAGATTGCCACCGGTTACGGCTGCAGCAGCCGCCTCGCGCAATTGTTCTCCACCGCCAGAGATTGAAGATGGGAGCAATGAGCTAAGAGTTGACATTGAGACATCTAGATGTGTGCTTTGGTTGCTGTTATTGTGGTTCTCGCTGACGGTGCGTCGTCGTAAACGGCTGCGACTATGCCGCCTTCGACCACTCACCCAGAGCGCAGGCCTTGCGTGAATTTGATGTGACGGCGCTGCGATGGTGGCAGCCGTGACATCAAAGCAATCGGTCTCACTTTTGCTCGGTCTGTTAACGGCGTCCTTGTCCCAAAGATCTGACTGCGAATGACACCGTACCGGCAATGACGTGGCTTGTCCGCGGCTTATGTGATTTGTAGCTTGATTTCCATTGGTAGCAGCTAATACGACGCCGGTACTTGAATCAACCGGTGGCACTTTTATCGGCGACGTGGCATTCCAGCACTTAAGCGTCATTGTGCAGCGCTGATGCCTGGTCACGAAGGAGGCTCAACCAGCCTGCGTACGTCGTGGCTATGAGCTTAGTATTTGTCGTAAAGAAGAACCTAAAATGGGGCGCGAGTGAAGTCAAGTGCGTCAGTTGCTGTTTGTGCGTTTTCCCTTATCCTTCGGCCTGTAGCCGGCAAAGCCCCCAATCGCGGAATGAGGACCGGATTCGACTTTGAGTCCAAGAGGGAGTCCGCAGTGGCGCCATTGCAGGGGAAGGTGAGGGGAGGGACTGCATTCACTGACGCGACCGATTGTCTGACCCGTCCGTGCCTACGACCCGCGCGTAATCGCCTTAATAAACGCAAGTGTGCGAGTGCACAGACGGGCCAGGAAGATGCCGCCCCTCGCAAATATGATCTACCGTAGTTGATGATATTAGACAACATCATACGACGTTGTAATACTATTCTAGATGACTACACGCAAGAATTTTTAGGTATGCGTTCACCCGTTGTCAGTGCTGCTACCCCACTGACTTGTGCTTTGCAGATAAAACGGTATTCTACGATGGCTTTTCTGCTTCAAGAACCTCATAAAATTGGCAAGCGAAATCAAGCCAAAATAAGCACCAGCACCTGGCGTGTGCTATCTCGCCGCTAGAAATGCATGTATCGCACAAGTGCCGCATCGTGTCGTAGTGGCCACGCCAGTCTAGGATCATCTGCATACAACAGTACGTGCGCCGCTGGCTTTCGAACAGATGAGTGTGGACGGTCGCCGCGATTTGCATTCATTTCGAGATTGGCGAAACTCGACATGTCTTGCACATGTACGTATCTTCAATCCAATACAAAAATTTGGGTCTTTAATTTGATCTGATACGTGTTTTGATGCCAACGAGCACCAACTTTATAAACAGACAATACTTTTGTGCAGTTATTTTTTGTATCAATTATTAATTGCTTGTCTGTCACTCATGCTTATAGAGCAGAGTGCAAATCGTTAAACTGGTGGTACTTGGTACAGCGTCTTCCACTACAAATCCTCTGTTACACATGTACATGTACCAGCTCTCGGTGAAACCCCAGCATAGACAGCCGGCAGAACGCTGCGTTCGTAGTCTAAACTATACTTCATCGACCTCAGGAGGTGATTCACCATTACATATACTGAATTTCCCAGCGTCCATCCACACGTTGATCAACAAAGACATACAAAAAAGTAGGATCGAAAATTGCAAATATTTCTTGCACACTTCGTATAACAATGTTGTGAGCTGTTGCGCATCTAGAAAGCGATGATCAATGCTTATTCGGTTGCCCATAGTCATTCAACGCGGTGAGACCACCAAAATAGAGTGACTGAGACCGACGAAGCCAATGATGTGCTTGCACGATACAATGCAGCTGCGCAGTAGGTCGAAAATTACTCGCAGTCTGAAGCTACTGTGGCATGAGAACAAGCTCAAGGACAGTCATTTAACTGCTACTGCATTTCTCATGTTTTTGTTGCGGAACTAGCTTAATATCCATCATACCAAGCGTTTCCTATCAGTGGCGACTTTGAGTACGACATCTACCTCTGCACCCTTACGCCAGTGCTGATTTCGAGGGTCTAGAACTCATTCTTGCCAAATAAATATAAACTACGGCTTTCACGGCAAAACCTCATGTTACCGTGCGTGCGTAACATTAGTTAATAACTTACGTTTGTGATCACATACCGTCTATTGTCTTAATGAAAAGTGAAGGTATCGCCGTTATCTCCTTGTGTACCTACAGTTCTTGGATCAAGTCGTGATTCAATCTGCAAAAAAAAACAAGACTCTTGAGTTACAGTATTACTGTATTCACTACCTTCAAATCCAACATATGTATGTCTACAAATCATGCTTGATGATCTACTTCTTGTGTTAATGATGGCTTGTTCAGATTTTTATATCACCTGAGCTGAAAATTTCGCCTGCAAGATCATGGGGCATAAATTTGAGATTTTTCGATCAAATCAATCGGACTTCTTATAAGATTTGATCTCCGTTTACACACTCACGCAAGTTGCTTCTGCTGGTTTGTGTGTCTTTTCGACAAACTTAATTGTAGACAAAATTGCCGACAAGTTAGTATGTTTTCTCGTAGCTGCCAGTAGGATATACACTAAGCCGGACTTGCAGCTGAAGCGAAACGCCGCATAGTAACAGTCGGGAAATTACATGCCGTAGATAATGGCTCGTAAAGTAGATTTGAAAACATAGGGTATTACATGAGAGCTCAACTTGATGTGTTAACAAAATGTCGAGTTTTACCGTACACGGCTGTGGAGCTTTGAAAATGCGAATATGCATCGAGTGGTCATACGACACAGTATAAAACGGCACAATGAATTACCAAAAATCTAACTTTATATTTCGGCCTTCGGCGTCAGCATACTGCCAGCGAGTCTGATACATTTCTAGGGTCATCAAGCGCAACAGGGTTGACTTGCACCTTGCGCGACTAGGCTTTGAGCCAACGAATTTACGTTTACAACCGCACCGAGGATAGGTCCCTCAACAAGCAGAGGGAGCGGCTAGAATCTAGTTTGCTCATACATTGCAACGGAAATAGAAAATATAAATACGTGTTTGTTACTTTTGATACTAAAGAAATTTGTATTGTAACGAGTCACATGCACCAAAAGGCATCAACCTCATCGGTACTAACACATTAATATTTCTGACGGAACTTACTCTGCGGTGGTTCAAGCGCTTTCTCTAGCTCGAATTTGAAGTTTTCGTAGCTCGAAAAGCAGTTTAAATTGGCCAAACGCTTACCATACACCCAACTCTTCGCACGACCCACAAAAATGGAGTTCGTGAACAACACTTGCTGCAAAGAGTCTCGCACTTATCTTGCAATGATTGCTGCAGACAACTCGACTAACCATCGTGAGAGAGTCTCGTTCTCAACACCACGGTACACAGACACGTTTAGCATTAGCTCTTTCGCTTAGAGGAAGCTAAGCTAAGGTCGGTGACATCGTTCTATACTTAAAACCAGTACGAGTGTAGAAATCGCAATCTGCTTACTCTTTGATTTTCAAGATGTAAACTGTATTTCTTGGTTTTATTTGCGGAAAGCCGTCAAGATCTAAATCTATATAATTTCCAAAATTAAAGTATTACCTTATTAAAATGCATAACTACTGGCAGTCCAGCCATGTACTGACTTCTTGTTAAGGTGTAGCCACACCATTGTATGGTCACTCCTTTATTGTGAGCCACTCCTTCATACCAAGGTATGTAAAGTCCCGTTATACTCTCCCCCATCGAAATTGTGAACACCCACAATTCAAATTTAATTGTCGCCTGTACGACGCTCGCGTGTCTAAGACACCTCTACATCCCCAGGACCTTCTACATGCATTTTCTGCTCAATGATCCCTGTGTCTAGAACATGAAACACACCCAGCTTCACTGGTTCCAAGAGTGCCCGCGGAAAGAACCCTTCTTCGTCTCCTGCACGCGGTGCAACTTCGGACTGCACGTCCGCGGCTTCAAAGTAGACGCATCCCAAGCACTCAACAACCAAGCACCACGCACCGCGCCCGCCACGGGCAACGGGCAACGGGCAACGGGTTACCACGTAGAGGATTCGGATGAAGTCAATTACGAGTCGGGAACTCCATTCCCAGGATGGAAAGAAGAGGAGGGCGAGGGAACGCCAGAGGCGCGACGTGATTCCTGCTCGAACCTCCCGGACACTATGTCCGTTCCCTGACCTCTCAACTTCCGAGGGAAGTGGTATCACCCGATGACCTAGACGAAGCACAGAGACAGCAGCTGGATGCTGCGCGCAGGACGACTATGCACGCACATCAACAGTCGGTCCTAGACCGTCGTGTGGAATACGGCTTCCACTCGGCGAATCATGCTATATAAGCGCAGGACACGATCACTCGATCGTTGGGCATCTACGTGGTCGGGCCACAGCCACTACACGAGCCGAGCTTGACGAACTAAAAGCTCTGCGAGCTTGCTTCTTGGTTCCGCGATACACCCCACTGGTTACGTACCGCTCTCGAATTCGCGCTCACAGAGGAGGCGCTTCTGTACCCGCAATGCGAACGATTCCTGTAGTGCTCGCCTCTGTAGAAACCGCTGCAGATGACGAAGAGCTATTTAACCGATGGGTGCAGCGGTAATCTGAAATTCTCCTCGCTGTAGACCTAACAGTTGAGCTACAAGGAGGTAGACGCGCGCGTGGAACGCCATCTTGATTTATTTTTGCCAAACTCAAGGCGCGTCGCCGACTTTCTTCGGATTGTCGCCCTGCGACGTATGGGCTGATCCCTCACGCTACTGCGAGCTCTGTGGTCTTCATCACGGATGAGTCTACGAATGCAGCGGCTCAAGGCCATGGCTTGAGCTCAGCTCATGGCCCTTCGGCTTCCCTGGCTATTGCCGAGAAGCGCGGGTGTACGACAACACGGAACGTCATGATTTCTCAGAATCATAAGCGTCCTAGACGTCTGGCATTTTTGCGGAGGTGGCACCCCAAACTCCCACGAGTTCTCGGGGTCTGGTTATCCCCGCCACTTCGCTATATACTGGGTTTGACTCTGGCGACGACATCGACCCACAAGATGTTTCACGTAATAGAGGACACCACCGTTCTCGTCGAGAAGAGATGATGACAAATTGGTCGATCGCTGTCCGGTGACACGCGATGATCTTCGAGCTCTTGAGGACAAATACTGTCGCGATCAGAACTCCGCTGAGAGTCATGCAGAGGTCGCATACCGTTGTGCGGAAGACCTAGAGAGCTTGTAGCACTTTGTGCCGGCTGCCTTACGTTGAGTGCTATCGCGATCTGTCGGAGCGACAATTAGCCGTTGAGCAGACGAACGCGTCGCTTTATGCGAAGGTGGAACGCTTGGCGCCGTTGGAGATGAAGATCGTTGATGTCCGTGCTCGCTGGCCCAGCTTCCGGGTGGTCGAGCGCCTATGGGTGCCGCTCCGGCATCGACGCTTCCGCGTTCACTTTCCCGTTATGCTTAAGCAAGTTCACGAAAAACACCGGGTGGGCGCGCATACGTTTGAAAGGTTTGGCGTATATGCAAGGCCCCGCTTGGCCACAACCTTGAAAGGTCCAATAAACCATGGACGAAGCTTCATCTTATAAACAGCAGGAATTGCATGGGTAGGAAGGTTTCTCGCATTTAATAAGACCAGGTCTCCGACCTCAAATTTTCAAAATTTCTTCTGCTTCTTCCGTCTGCATATTATTTCTGCATGTCTTGGCTGTGAGCCATCGCATCGCAAACGTGTTGTAAGACAGAAAGTCAGCAGTGAGGGGCTGACATAAGCTAGCCAGCTATTCCTCCCCCACCACGCCCTGAGCCATGGGATGACGGCGTCAGCGGGACGCGAGGATAAACGAGCTCGCTCACGTAGAACGGCGTATAGCCGGTAGACAAATGCACTGCATTGTTTGCAGCGAACTCTACGAGTGGCAGCATGGAGCTCCAGCGCTTCGGCGTCTCACCGCAGACGCTGCGAGGGATGGCTTCAACGACGTGATCCACGCGCTTAGTTCGACCATCGGTCTACGGATGGTCCGCTTTAACATATTCAACTTGCTGTCCAGCATCTTGAAGATCGTCGACCAGAACTTTTCAGTCAAGCGAGGTCTCTATCAGAGACGATAGACTCCGGGAGTCCATTTTGTCAAAAGACACGATCCACAAACCGCGTCGCTGTACCGACACCGTCGTTGGTGTACAGCACCGCCACATGATGAGCTATCTTGCTCAACCGTGTCGCGCGCCGAGTCTTTCGGTAGGCCAAACACAAATTCCATAATCGTGGATTGTCAACACCCGGAGGGTACCAGCAAACTGGCCCGCATTCGGAAAAGGTTTTACCCTTTGACACGTCTCATACGTGTGCACATAGGTGCTCGTCTATTCGTACAGCTTTGACCACCAGTAGTAGCAACCCACCGAGCTTTACGTCTTCTCACGACCGAGATGACCACTGAGTGGGGTGTCGTGGGCCTCATAGAGGA